ACCTGACACAAGGCAGACAGGCCGCAGGGACCCATGGCCAGAGCCTGAACCCATTGTTCTGTGTACCCAAACAACCAGGTTTTTCCTCTTCCAGGTGCTTCTTATCAATGAGATGGAGCAACGGTAAAATATGAAATTGCATCAACGCAGCATTAATCTTTCAAACAAGAGGCTGCCTTCACCTGGGCTCCTAAGCAAGAGCCTTGATAAGGAGTATCAGGCTTACAAGGTAAACACATTTCAGAGGTTGTTCACACATGGCACAAGCCACTGGGGTTATTCCAGACCAAAACCCACCCGCAGCATCATGCCAGACACAGGGAGCTCTCAGAGCTGAGGATGTGGGCCATTAATTAGGGAAACTGGCAATGCTTAATCTCACTGCATCAAGAATAAGGAACCTTGAGGGTCCATTTTAATACAATATTTTTCTCTCTATCTTTATTAACCTTGGAAGTGTAAATAGTTTAGAACGGACTGCAAAGCAGAGCCTGCCACGTTTGCTCACAGTGCTGCTGGGAGAGAAGGCCACCACAGACGCAGTGTTTGTTTATAAGGGACTGCAGGAGAGGAGATGCAATGCTGATGGGGCCAGGAGCATTCAGGGCTGGAACACTTCAGTTCCCCTAAAAGAGAGGAATTATTTTCCACAGAAATTTAAAAAAAGCTTCTGTTGGCAACAATGGGAAATAATTTAAAATCATATCTCGCAAGTAAATAAAACTGCACGCCAAAAACACAGCAGTGAAAGAAGTCCCAGGAGGGAGCTGGCAGGGCCGAAGTGCCCTCAGCCCCAGTGCTGCAGCCCTCGTGCAGCGGCACTGTCTGGCAGGATGTGCATGTCCACAGGAGGGGTGAGCCATGGCACTGCCAGTTCTGGGTGCAGCTGTGCAGGGTCCTGTGCACAGTACCGGGGTTTATTCCCAAAGGACAGGATTCACTTGAGCTGGGCATGAGCTGCTCTGCAAAAGGCTTGGAGTCCACCATCAACTGTTACCTCCTGGGGAGGTGGGCAGCATGGGAAAGGCACAGCAGCATCAATGGCAGGCAGCAGGAGCCTGAGACAAACTCAGGATTTTGCTGGGTTTCATCCCAAAATACATTTCTTTGGACTGAGTGATATCCTGAGTTGCTTGGCTGACCAAGACTTGGGAGCACAAGCCACAGAATTCAGACCATTTAAAAATGTAGGTATTCTAACAAACAACCCAGGAGACCTCCCTAGTATGGGAGGGAAGCATTTTGGGGATAGGTTTCCACAGAAGCACAATATTTCCCTAGTAGGCTTTTCACCAGAGGAACAAATAAGGTTTCCGAGGCTAAAACATTGGACAAGGTGCTCCTTGCACTGTGGACGTGGTGCAGGTGTCCCTCCCATGCCGCTCTCCAGCCCAGTGCCCCAGCGCACGGTGCGGGGCAGCCCTGGCTGGTGGTGCCAGGCTGTGCCAAGCGCTGGTTATTGCAGGGTTCCCACACATGTTCGTGTCTCCAAGCATTCCCACACGCCACAGAAGAACCACACGGAGCATGTCCAGCTTTGTTGTTTCAGCCATACTGTTGAGGCGCCTGTTTACTTGGGAATCATATGTTTTCTGCCCTGGTCCTCACTGTATTCAGAACAGTTACTTAGCTTCAATAAGCCCCTTGTTAAAGCCTTTTCCCTTCTGTAATCTCATCAAACTAACCAAAAGGAGTTTGTTCTGAAATAGAGTCCCATTTTGTAACCTGGCTTCCTGGAGGAGCGCTCCCCATGCGCACCCGGCCCCTCCGCCACAAAAGGGCTCTGCTTGTCCTAGCGCTGACAAAACACTCCCGTCTGTTTGGGTTAGTCAGCAGGGGGTTAATGAAAAGCCCGGCCCTGGGGACTCCCACCTTATCTGCAATCATGAATTTATTGAAGAATGTGTTAATGTGCTGGATTTTATTCATCAGGGGTCAGGGCTTTTCAAATTCTTCCTCCCAGCTCCCCCTCTTTCCATCCCTCCCCAGCAAGCTCACAATGCTGTTTAAACAAAGGACTCCCAACACAAAGAGCAAATTTACACAGTAAAGTTTTCTTGCAAGCCCAGAGCAGAGTCTGGAAGAATTCCAGCTTTATAAAGAGAAAAGGGGGTGGGGGGAAGAAAGGGGGAAGGGAGAGATGGGCATTTTGCAGAGGATAAAAGGAAATTCAGAAAAGTTCCCACCTCCTGAAGCTCAGTGCTGAATATTCTCCATCAGTTAACCCTGAAGCAGGAGGATGTTTCAGCAGGACATGAGCCCTCATAGCACCAAACTTCTCAGGCTCCTTCAACATTGAGACTGAAATGAATGTTTCGACATCACATTTATAGTGACACTTCAACAGCTCTTTTGTCTGTGGATTGCTAACAGGAGCCCCTAAGAGGACACAGCAACCCTTCACCAGGGCTCCTCCTCTGTTCCTTGTTTTACAGGTGTGACCCAGGCAAGATCTAAAAGGAAATAATGAGGCTCAGACATGGCTCATGGTGTCACATGTCCAAGGCCAAGTGAGAATGCAAAGGAGCCAAGGATCCTACCTCCCGCATCCCACCCATGGGCCACGTGCTGTCCTGGGACCAGGGGCCACCTGGATCCTTCCAGGGGGTCCCTTGCACCACCTGACTGGGCTTGGCAGGTGCACAATCCCACTGCTGCCTGCCAGTGCTGGAAATAGGCAGCCTGGAATGCCCTCCCATCACCTCGAACATTACCCCACTCCGCAGCTGGGTTAAAGGGATGTTTGGTTTGTTGTTTTTATTCTTTTTCACTAAAAGGTTAAGGCCCCTCCCTAATCCATCCATTTTGGTTGTGTTGGTAGAGCTCTGGGCGATAGAGAACAGGGCACAATCCTGCACTAATGAACCAAGGATGACCTAAATGATTTTCTTCAGGTCTCGTCACCTCCACTTCTGGCACTGTCATTAATGAGCTCTGGCAACATCTCAGAAAGGAGAGCTCAGAACAGACATCACCTCCATCTGCACCTCTGCCTTGCAGGCAGAGCCTCATGGAGCTCACCTGAGCAAAGAGTTTTCAGATATTTTACAAGCAAAATATATGTGATGTTATTGGCCATGATGCTAAAACTGTTGGGAAGGCTACAAACTGGTCCCTGGGTAGGAGGGACGTGTGGCCTTCAGACGCGTGGCCTAGGGACTTTTGGAAATAATTAGTATTAAACCCCATCATAATTCCAGTTTCTAACAATGTTCTCAGTCAAAAGGATGTAATTGACCTAAACTTTCATTCCTGTGTTTATTTACCTTGGGTTTTAGGGAAAGCGACGCCTTCTGCCATACTCTCACCGCACCAGCAGTGGTCTGCAAAAAGCTCAACCAAGCAGCCTGGGAAAAGGGGGTTTAAACAACTCTGGAGTCACACACAGGAGCCCACAAACAGCACCACAACACAGAGTTCTGGCAGGAATCTTGGCTGGCGTTGCCAGGGCAGCGCTGCCCGACTGCTGCACCGCTTTGCGGCGGCCATGGAGGGGCCGAGCAGATCTCGGCACATGGGATCCAGCTGCACTGCTGATGGATCCCTGACTGCTGAACATACAATACATACTAATAGTGTCTCCTCTGTGACAGGAATGCCAAAGCCTGGTGCAGAAAACAACTCAAAGGATGTAATTAAATCAGTTAAATGGCTTGGGGAAAGAGACATGGCTACAACCAGATTTCAACTCTCAGCACAGTCACAGGGCACAGGGAACAACGATTAGGAGAGCAAGAACTGTAAAAGCTCCATGATCAACCACTTGCTTTTCTTTAGTTAATAAACTATAACTCACGCTTAATACAGTCACAGACCAGGTGAGTCCCTAAACACAGAGCCCTGGGACAAAGGCAACTGTTCAGGATAGGCAGGTACTGTGCCGGCATCACCAGAGGTGACATTACCAGGCACAAGTAAAGCCAGTGCCAAGAGCAGAAATCACAGGCCAGTCAGTTGATTTTCATCAGTTGTTAATGTAATGTGCAGTGAACAGCGAGCTCCTGCTGCCTTTTTGGAAGCAGAAACTTGGGGCAGAGCGTTGCTGAAGCAGGAGAGGCAGCTCCAGCTACTGGCAGTAGCAAAGGAGCCTTTGCACAGTGGGAGATCCGGGTGCCCAGAAATGGCCTCGTGCACCAGAGGAGCTGCATGAATCCAACCATTAACACAGCTCGTGGCCAGTTTTACTGAACGACTAAGATGAAGCAGGAACAGCACTGCAGGGGCAGCAGCAGGGTCAGGGGCTTGGGGAGCTGCCTCGGGGGCTGCTTCCACTGCCCAGCAGCTCCAGGCGTGGTCCAGCTCCTCTGAACAAGCTCCAGAGCCACCGGTTGCAAGAGGAGAAAGAAAGATGCTGCCACAGAGAGAGAGCACACAGAGGAGAGCAGGATGGCCCCAAAAATCCCATGGCAGCGTCTGGGCAGAGCTGCATGGACGTCTCAAACAACCAGCAGCCGAGAGGGGCCCAACAGTCTCAGTGCACAGACTGAGCCAGCATCTTTCAGTGCCTCTGGGGACAGGCTGGGGAGAGGTCAGGGCTGACAGTGGGAATGGGGAACACCAGGAGCTCGTGCTGCCCAACAGGTCCGCAGTCCCACAGGAGACTGCCTGGGCAGAGAGGGGAAGGTCTCATCTTCCATGGGCTTCAGTGCGAAGCAGGTACCGCACAGCTGCCAGGAACACTGCATTCCTTCCTCTCTCAGGATCAAAAAGAAAATCAAAATTAAACCCCACCAATCCTGCAGGGGTAGAGGGTTGCTGTTACTGGCAGGGAGGAACTGGCAAAGCCCTGGAGCACCAGGAGCAAAGCACACCCCAGACCTCCCAGGGGCCCCAGGTGGAGCCACATGTTGGCGAGGGTTTCCCCAGATCACAGGCAAATTTCTCCCCACTATCTCGAGGCCCGGGGCTTACCTGAACATGAACAGTGTCTATTCACTTCTTCACATCCCAGGGGAAAAAGGACTTACTACAAAAATCAACAACGCTGGTATGAAATATACAGTAGCCACCATTAACATCATATTTATTGTTATTTAGTTGCTCAGTAAAACATATACAGATATGTACAATATGCAGGAATACAGAAGACTGCACTTTACATATTTAAAAAAAAGAAAGAAAAATAACACTCAATTTCATGAGCTATTGTCACAGTCTTCCAACCAAGCATTTAGGAAATGAATTTAACAAGAATCAAAAAAAAAAAAAGATTACAGGATTGCCTAACACACAGCAGAGTCAAGTTTTCATATTTTACATGTGCAATAACATTTTTCAGAAGAGTTTGCTATGCAGTACGGATTACCAGTGTTTTCAGGTTTTTTTTTCTTTTCCATGAACCAAATTCAGTACAAAGAAATAACATCCTTTTGCTTAAGGCTGTTTTAAAGCTGTAATATTCTTGGGTAGTGAATAGTGATAAAGTTACAACTGCCAGAAATCAGAGCCTGCAGTTTCATCAGTCAGAACCTATGAGCGGATGGACTCAAACCAACAATTTTAATAGAGAATTTCTAAGACAAAATTAGACTATTTCCTCCATTAGCCTTAAGCAATAAAGGAGAAACAATTCTATAAAAATGGGTTATGCTCTTACACACCATCCCTTGAACAGCTGTGAATCCAGCAGCTGAGAAAACCTTACACTGCAGCTCAACAAAAATAAGCCAAATGTACCATTTGGTTTCTATTGCCTCCCACCCTCCCAGTGCCCATCCTGCTGCCCTGCACTCGCCTCACCCCTTCTGCCTACTGAAATTGGAATTTTTTGCCTTGCTGGTGGTGCCTGGAAGTCCAATCTTGATCCCAGGTTCTGAAGGTCAGCCAGCACCACAGTTACCATGGAGGCCATGGGATCTGCACAGGTCCCCAAGTGATCCAGGTGACAGAATTCTGGTGCTCATCCCCCTCCACCTTCACACACAGTGAAAACCTTAACTAAATAACAATGAGCCTAAACCACCTCACTGATGCTCAAATAACAGAGAATGGGTAACTCCAGGAGAAAGTGATCTGTTTTATCACTCCTCCCAATTGAAATGCAAGACAAACTTTGCTCAGTTTGCTATGACACTGTAACTTGCAGACTAAGCACAGGGTTTCTTCTAACAAACACACAAGGAGCCAGGGCACAGGGCCGGGAGGTGGGGGACGTCCTGGTTCCCCTGATGCAGCTCCAAGGCTGTGTGGGAGCCTCCGGCGCCGGGCTGGCCAGGGAGAAGCCCCACGACAAAGGCAAAGCCACGTTTTAGCTGCTGTTCGCAATCCAAAGCGGATCGTGCGTCATGTACCACCAGTCTTTGGCTTCTTGTACAATGTCCCCCATCTGGAAGCCACATAGGACACACGGGTGGGAGGTTTCACCATCCTGGCTTTGCCCTGGCACTTGGGAAACATGTAGCTCATAAAATTCTCCCCACTGACCCAGCTGAGACCCCGAAGGAAGTGAGCCTTGGGCGTGGGGCTCTGCAGTGAGCAGAGGTCAGACCTCAGTGCAGCTCAGCCCTGCCACCGATATGCCTGACATGCTCAGGTCAAAATTGTCCGTGCCTCAGTTTCCCTCTCCACAAGAGTGCAACTTACCTCTTCCACAACTGGCTTTTACCTACAGCTCTCAAACATGCTTCAGTTGGAATATTATTATTCAGAAAATCACATCATTAATGGGTAAAATTAATGGGTACAATGAAATCAGTGCAGGTACCACCAGCTCTGTGACAAAGCTCGAGCCCTCTGCATACACTGTCAGTACCACATTCCCAGGTGATGAGCAGGATGTGATGCCTGTCCTGGTCAGGATGTACCGTTTCTGTTCTGATCTTTGGCAAAAAGCAACAAAACCCTAAAAGCACAGGTTTGGTTGGTCCTGGCATCACCAGTGGCTGCCCTAGACAGAGCTCGTTCAGTCAAGATCAAAGGGACAGGAGGTTAGCAAGAGGATTGCGTGTGACCATATGATTCAGGAGAACTCCCAGCACACAGCCAGCCACTGGTTTAATTCCTCACTCTCTGACAGTCCTGTTCCCCACACTGCACCCACCACCCAGAGCGGAGCCAGCAGCAGCCAAGTGCCACAGCTCCCGTGGCTCGGCACCTGGAGACACAGCCCCTGGCCTCAGAACAGCCTGGCCTCATTTCACAGAATTCCACCGATTTTTAAGGAATTGCTTGCACTCTGCATTTCCATGAGCAAGTGAGAAAGCAAGTTCCGAGTGGATGAGAACAGAAGAGAAGCACAAGCTGCCAATGATGAACGAGTAGAACTGCTGGTCAGACCAAGACAGCACAGTTCCACTCAAATGATGATTTCTCTTTAAAAGCATCTGAACTCTGTGTTCCCTGACAGGTTCCTTCCCGTGGCACAGGGTGTGCATCCCTGACCTCAGGAAGCCTGAAAAACCTGTTCTCTTCAGTGCAGCAGGAAAAACTAAAAACAAAGCAGCAAGGCAAGGGGCTGCACTCCATGCAGGAATGCCACGAGGCCATGAACTCGGACAAAATTTTCAGCTGTGGTGGAAGACAGTACCGTACCAGGGTCACGCCAGGACCCCTCTCTGTGGACCGAGCCCCCCACAGCAGCACAAGTGCCCTGGCAGGCACAGACCCCCTAGCTCAGCATCCCCTCATGCTCTGCTGACAGGATTTAAAATCACATACTTGGGTGAGCCAGGACTGGAGGAATCACAGGCGAAGAGGCACCTTCCAGAGGGAGGCTGACAGTGAATATCCTACCAGGAGATACTTTCTGGGGATGGTGATATTTTATTGCAGGTGCAGGAGGAGTTCTGCACTCCCAGTCACACACCCCAACAGAGGTACAAACCATCCCAGCTTTTTGTTCCAAACCAAGCGGGCGTGAGGCAACTCCACAGCCAATTGCTTCAGGATGGGCAAAAATCCTCATCCTCGTGGCAGCTCCAGCTTCAATAAAAAGCAAAATAATATTGAAAATCAAGATTCAAAACTATCCAAATTTATCCAAAGTCAATTCATTGACCAGACCCATAAATCAATCCATGCATGGTTAATAAGAGCACATTCAAATCACATTTCCAAACACTGCGAGTCTCTCTGAAGCCACATACGACTGAGAGTGAGGATTCCAGACCACCCTTGGCTTTTTAGGCAGAATTTCCTCTCCATTGGTGTCTACTGAGAATATTACGTCAAAATAATTAAAACCCCAGCACAATCATCAAAGATAAAATACAAAGCAGTCTTCAACTCCATCCCTTCAACAGGGACACATTTGTGAAATCATGAATAAATAACCCTAGAGAGGCCAACCTTTATTTGGCAGCCAAAACCTAATCCTCCAGTGCTGTTCCTGAGCTCCAGGATCTGCGGGAGGCGAGCTGCCGGCACGGGGCAAGACGGGGCCACTCCTGGGCGCAGGGACACACAAATAATGGACAGTATTACGTAAAACCGCTGGAGAGTCAGACCATCGTGTCAGTCGTGGGTTTATCTGGTTTGCTTCCAACTTTCGTCTCGAATGAGCATTATCTAGCCCGAGCAGGAAAGCATGGCTTTCCTTTTATTGTGTGCATCCAGCAATGCTGTTCTTCAGTGTGTGGCAGAAACAGGACCTTGAATGAGTTTTGGGAGGTCTGACAGGGATCTCCCTGCACTGGCAGATTAGGAAACGCTGCCTCTAGCAGACAGCCCCCTGCATCCCCCAACCTGGGCCATCCCCAGCTGCTGCCACTGCATCGGGACCTGAGGTGGCAGGGGCTGGGGCACCCCCAGACAAACGCAGGGGACACTGGACCTGCTACCAATCAACAGCATCTTTCTGCAGCTAAAAATGGGCAAAAAATGGGCAGGGTGCAGATGATTTTCTTTTTCAGCATCAGTAAAGTGGGAACTGCAGGAGCACCACCAGGCCCTGGAAAGCAAGAGGGAGCCTGGGCCTTCAGAGGAGGAGATAATGACTCTTGACCATTAAGAAAACTTCCCGTTAGACTTACGTAGAAAAACCCCTTGGTACATTCCCCGCTGTGCCTGAACCAGCCCGTTCATGACAGAGCTCCATCCCGGGGCTGGGCCCAGGTACAGAGAAGAAGGAGCGTCCTGGCCTCACCAGGAGGCACAGAGCAAATGAGGCTGAACCTCATTAACAGGAGAACTTCTTTCTTTCAGGAAAGGGCAGGTCCATGCCTGAACATTCGACAGAGCATCAACTGCTTGTTTTGTATGTGACTGGCAAAGGCTGGGTGTCAGTACGACATATAATTTAATGCTGACCATTTCACTTTCACTGGTGTTTATTCCTGAACTGCTGCTCCTCAGGATCACCATTGTAATAAGTACTGAACAAAGCAAAGCAAAACAAAACAAAACAAAAAAAAAAAAAGGAGAAACAAAGTAAATGAGGAAAAAAAGGAGAAGGAGGAGGAGAATCTTTGTCTTATTATGACATACGTGACTTGGACATACGTTGAGATGAAAAAGGAAAAGGCCTCATCTATAAATGTATGCCAAGGTTACAGAATAATGGGAAAAAGTGGTCTAGCAGGAAAATCTTAAGCAAAAGTGTGCTAACTGCAGAAGGGTTAACACTGGTAACATACTGTGGCAGAAGATTAAAAAAAAGTTGAGGTTTACTTTAAATTAACCCTTTCCAGTCCATATGCCACTAAGCAGGTACCAACCTAGAAAAATAGTCCACCTAGCAGTAGCGGCCCTTTGAAATTAAAAAAAGAAAAAAAATAATTTCTTTTGTTCAAGTCAGGGCAGCCACAAAAGTCCCGAATCTGTTGGAGATGTCCGAGTGCAGGGACCTCCACGTTGGCACCGCAGTCCGGCCCTTCGCCTCGCCCACGTCGTCCGTGCAGTGGACCGAGAGGCACTGCAGGTGGCTGCCCGTCTGCGCCGCCGCCGCCGAGGTCTTGCTCGGGGGAAGGTCGTGGGCTGGAAAGGGTTCACAGAGAGAGGTTAGGAGACCCATGACATGCAACCCCACCAACTCACGGGCAGCAGCAGCAGGGTTGCCTCACCCTCTTCCCACCGGCCCATGCCCCGGTTCCTGCACCTGCAGCGTCACATCCCCCAGCTCGGGGACACTGTGTCACCACCACTGTTGTGGCTCCCCCTCCCCACCCTGCAGAGAGCACCCATGGCTGATTTTTTACCAGGGCAGAAGAACAAATTGAAACAAACCAGTGATGTGTCTGAATGCTGGGGATGGATCCAGGACCGATGAGTGTGTCCTAGACTGCAACACCATCGGGAGCTTTCCTTCCCTGTGCACCCTCTGCTATTGAAAATGGATGCTGAAACATCTCCAAGCAGGAAGCCAGCCCTGAATGCTCTGTGCCCTCATGGTCACTCCCAGCATTGGTCTCCCTGTTCCCCTCTTTTAATGGAGCACCACGATAGTATTTTTCTTAAAATTTATTTCATTTAAGGGCTTTGTATGATCTTTAGCCATCATTAGTTTCTGTTAACCACAAATGGAAGACTTTAACTGAAACATCCTAAACACTATCCCTTGACCTTTTTCCCATGGATTTTACAGTTAATGTGAAGAGTGGCTAAAATGGGTGGAACATGCCAAAGACATCAAAAGCTGGCTGTGCATGTTTAACCTCTCAGGACTTTACCTTCCATCACCTTTCTCCTGTTCCACAAAGCCAGACAGTGTGGGGGTACCACACTTCATGGAGCAGCTCGCATTGCTTCCACTGAACCTGCTGCTATACCAGATACAAAACCAGAACTGACCAGATTCCTACACAATCACAATTATATTAATAATAATCCTAAACTAGTGTGGAAGTCCCGGTTTAAATGGAAAATAGTTTTAATGCTTGATTATAACAAGAGGTCAGAGATGCTCGTATCTAAAACAGTCGAGTTACACCACGCAGAGAAACTACTGAGAATCTGGGGACACGATGCCATGAAGGAACGAGGCTCCAGAGCAGCACTGCTGCCTGCTCAGCCCTGCGTTGGTGCAGCCACGTGCAAACTCCACACAGAGATTGTCTACATCCACACACAGATGTCTGTCACCGCACAGCCCAGCCAGTGCCACCATCACCTTTTGCCGACACCCTCACACGCTGCTCCAACAAAGAATCCGGCAGCAGCACAGCAAAGGTGCTCTCTACACTCCGAATGGATTCCAGCTCCCTGTAGTTGGTGTTGGGTGTTTTATTCAGATAAATAAGCACCACCAAGGGGCTGAGCAGAAGCACAGAGTAGAGGCTGCCACATAATACCCAAATGCTGAGTTCCGCAACCACCTTCCCAACACGTGGAGCTTCTACTCTCCTTTCCTGTGACCCCTGAAAACCACAGGGCAAGAAAATAGACTCCTTAAATAACCACTATTTGATTCGGTGTTCAATTTTACTTACTGTCCTGAATGCAAATATACATGAAAAACTTTATTTATAAAATATTCAAAGCTCAGATGGGATTGTGCAGAAAACTGTGAAAGAGAAATGTTTTTCTTACTTGTATTTGTTCACAAGGCACTCAGTACCCAGTATTTTTATTCTTAGGTCTCCCTGACTGCACAGGACATGCTGGGCTCAGCACAGGAAGAGCCAGCGCCTCAAGATTAGTCCTTGTGACAGCAACTCTCTTCCTCTGCTGCAGAGAAAGAGGAAAGAGTCCCACAGCTGAACTGCAGCCACAAGGGGCCCGGGGGTCCCAGCGGTGTTTCTACACAGGCTGCAGGAGACCCCCACAGCCAAGGACTCCAACAGCCAAGGCAGAGGTGGCACATTCCCAGGCCGGGAACAGAGCCAGAGCTCCACTACACCGGCTGTGCAGGCACCTCGACACCCCAAACAGAGCCAGTCCTCAGCAATGACTACTTGAAGAAGTTCATGTGTCACAAGCAACTGAAGAATAAAATATTAGGGTTATTTGCTTGTAAATCAGCAAATTATTTCTAAGCCATTTGCTGTGGATAAAATTCCTAAGCAAACTACTGATAAAGGAATCAAAGGAAAACCCAAGCAAAAGAGGTGAGCAGGAACTGAGCCTCAGTTTGCAAAGTCAGTACTGACCGCCACTGTCTACACGAGCTTCACTCACCACGGGACATTGCTGTGGGAGCTCCAGCCCTCCTGTCTATCGTTAAAGAGCACAGAAAATGGCACATTTAAATCCAAAACAAAGAGAGGATGAGAGCTTACAGCAAGGCTTGCATTGGCACAAGAATTCTCAAAGTCAATCTGGAGGGAAATCTTCAGTGCAATTTACTTTTTTCCAATATTTCTGTCTTGACAAAGGTATGATGCTTTCCTGGAAAAAAATCTTTGTAGCAAAAAATTATAGTTGTGCTGATCCACCTGATAAGAATTATGTTCTTAAGGACAGGATACTGCCTGATGCTTGTCCAGAACAGTAACACTCTCTCAGCTGACCTGTTCCACTAGCCATCCTTTCTGCCTCCCTCAGAGCCCCAGCACCCTCAGGCCACAGCACACACGGTCTGGAGGGGTGATCTTAGAGGAAATGGACAGGTTAAAATTAGTCAGGTAATGCAAGATGGTGTCACCACGTCACTGCCTCGCAGCTGTCAAGTTCCAGACAAATTGCCATCAGTCGTGAAGCACCTTACTGAAAGTAAGGTATTTTCAAACAAATTATCTTTAAACTGCACAACTGCCTCTATCAGCAACTACTGCAAGAAATTTGTGTTATTAATAAAAGCAGTACCCTTCCAATAAGGGCCATCCTCCACACCCAAGATCTTGAGATGGTCTGGGTGGAGACTTCCTCTCCAAACCAAAGGACATGACACAACAGAACCCAGGACAGACAAAAGCAGGCTCGCAGGACAGCGTGTGCCCCTTGGAAACAGCAAATGCTGAAGCAGAGGTAAGAGAGAAAACACTGGATGTAAGCTCACACTACGTTCATGTGGAAGGCATGAAACTCAAAGCAGCAAAGTGACCAGAGACCAAAAGAAGTTTTGAACCAACTCAACCGTGATGCTTTCCTACCCCACTGCAGTTGGTGACGTTGTGGTAGTTCCCAGAGCCAATCTGCTTTTAGGTAAGAGCTTCTGACCAAGCTTTACCCAGCCAAACACGTTCCAGGCGTTCAGCCCCAGACAAACAGCAAGCAGGCAGTGCCCAGCCAGGCTCCCCAGCCTCCCCCCAGGCCCGACCCTCTGCTCTGACCTTGCACATTTAGGAAGCTGCTCTTTCGTTCTGCTCTACTTTGCAAAGGCACGCAGCCTCTGAAAAGAAAAGGTTGCTGTTTGTTTGTTTACACAGCATTAATGGCAGCATGGTGACTAAGCCAGGAGCCTGGCCAGCAGCACTGGAGCCTGCAGCTGGGACACAGGAAGAGGACCAGGAGTTCTGCTTCACCAAAAAATTCAATACACATGCTACAGACTGCTTTTCCACATTAATTTGGGAAAATCACATTTCTCTAGTGATGTTAGACCCTGACACTCTCCTCACTCCTGCAGACACTGTGTATACACACCTGCAGTCCCTCCAGCTTCCTTCTCACTCCCTCTTTTTCCTGAACCCCTGAGCAGTTAAGCTACTCCGTAAAGCCTTTTTCCTGATGTAGCATCTTCTTATGCATTACTAAAAAATAAATATGTTCTTTTAACTGTGACAACCCACCAAGCACTGTGCAAACCCAGAGGTGTCCCAATTTTTACCAAACTAATCCCATTAAAACCGAGTTCACCTGTAAGACTAACACGCATTGCGTGCATCTTCTTGCCAGAGGAGGTTAATTGAGGGAGAGCTGGTGTAGCCAAGGCAACTGCGGATGCTACGAGGCACCGGGAGATGATGCTGCTCTTCAGGTGCTGCTCATGCCATCCCTCTCATTTTTGCCAAAATCACAATCAACAAAAGGACGGGAGGCAGTGACACACAGGAGCGACAGCATAGCCACAGTCTGGTAAGGGTCTGGTTGGGAGTGGGTTCCACTCCACATTTCAGCATTCCTGCGACATTGAAGTGACAAACAGGAGGTGAAGATCCCTGGAATGGCTCCTTGCCCCAGGGCTCATCCCTTACACTTCTTCACCGCTCTGACACAGCCTGAGCCGCCTGCGCTGCCCAGGGTCCGACCGCCCGGCACAGCACGGCCCCGCCGCCGCCCTCGATGGCCAGCCGAGCGTGAAGGCCCTGGATTGCTACTGATCTTGTTAAGGCTGAATCTGAGAATTTGGCCAAAAACACTATATTCCCTGATCAGAGATCTGTTTCCCCTCTACCATCTGATAACCACTCTTAAAGGACGCGTTAATGGGCTTCTGTTCACTCTGTGCCCGTTAAGCAGAGGCCAAGCTACCATAAGAGGGAATAGATTTGAGTAATGATCCCTTATGAGGCAGCAAACCTACATATAGTGTTTAAAATTATTCCCTTAGGACAAGATGTTTTTCACCAAATCTCCCACATGACAGTTTGACATATTGGTTCAGGCACATAGCTCTGCATTTGTACACAGCACAGAACCATCTTTTTCAGTTTTCAAGAAAAATAAGGTCTGAAAACATTTCATGTTTTCCTGCACACTGGACCTAGTCTCCACAGATTAATGTACTCCTGAAATTGTATTTTTAAACACTCCTAAAACTGTATTTTTAAACACAACTAGTTCATTTGTGTTGATAAACAAATGAACCATCTCCTTCCTCACTGCTGCGGCACTGACAAAGTCCTGGACAAAGGCATTTTCTCGACCCTGGGGTACAAGGAGGCAATGGTTTGCATTTGTTCATAGACACAAACATGGCACATGCCACCTGCTTATGCCATAAGCTTGCACCATTTTCAGGTGTCTCCATCCCTGGCAACCCATGCCCACTGTGGGCTGAATCTGTCTCTGCTGTTTTCAACGCCCTGGCAGAGGCTGCCTCTGGCCCCAGACTGGCAGCACCCAGCTCCACTGGCACTCGAGGGAAAGCCCCAACT